CCTCCACCACTGATGCTCAGTAGCAGCAGTGTGTGCTACGTACAAGATACACTGCAGAAATTCACCGAAGATCCTTAGACAGCACCTTCCAAACCCTCGACCACTTCCATCTAGAAAGACAAGTGCAGCGATACATTGTTCTGACTTGGAAATATATCACCATTCCTTCATAGTTGCTACATCAAAATCCTGGAATTCCCTCCTTAAGGGCATTGTAGGTAAACGTACAGCACGTGCACTGCAGCAGTTCAAGAAGGCAGCTCACTACCTCTTTCTTAAGGGCAGCTAGGGATGGGCAATAAATGCTGGCCAGCCAGTGATGCCTACGTTCCACAAGTGAATAAAAAATTTACTGTTTGCACTTACTGTCTATGTTTATTCATAAGGAACAGACACTTGGGCTGAACACTGCTTTCCTCTGTATAGCAATGGAATAGAATCCTCACTTTAGAAGATGATGACAAAATCAAAGTTTTCAAAGCTGTTATTTTCTTCAGAGGTTACAATACCACTAGGGGTCCTTTCACATTGCCACTGTGGTAGCATTTACCATTTCATTAAAAAGATAACTGCCATGGAAATGCTTGGTTTCAATGAGATTATGCAAGTCAGGTATGTTGTATTGTTTTGAGTCTCATTTCGTAATTGTGAATCTAAACTATAAAAGTTTGAATTGTGGTTTAATATACAGAATGAATGGAATACAGATACATTAAACTTCCAAACAAACAAACAATCAGGCTGGAATACTAACATTAGCCCATCAGTGTGGTTAGCTTTGAGGCGTTTGACAGCAAGATATACTATAGCAAATATTTTTCTGGAGGAATATAATTTTAAATGAATGACTGCATTTTATGTACTCTCAAATAATTGAAATAAAAACATTGATTAGAGCAGGATAACAGAATTCTGGATACACTGTAGCTCACACATGAAGAAGGAACACTTAGGCAAGGGACGTCTGCAGTCCAGTAGCTGTACGTAATGGAAGACACTGGATTTTCAAGGGAATTAAGGAAATGTGTGGCAAGGTAGAGCTGAGGCATAAGATAAGTTACAATATTATTGAATGGTGGAGCAGGTTTGAAGGGATAAATGGCTCATTCCTGCTCCAATTTCTTAAGTTAATACAAAATGAAAGATGTGAAGAAATTGAATTATATGATACGTTCAGGTGAAAAAGATTCTTGATCCATCTAACCTTGTCCTTCCAAAATGCCAAGTCAAACTTTCCCCTTAGCATCTAGATTTTTGTTAAACCAGTCCTATGTTTTGGCATCAGCTGCCTTTCCTGGAAAGGAAATAATATCTCCAGATTTCAAACAACTTCTTTTTACTAGGAAGAGAACTTTGATATTTAAGCCCTGGCACCAATTTTTAAAAATCTAGTTTTATCTTTACGTGAAAAGCACTTTCAAAGTGAATCCCTTCAGCTTACTGACAGTAGGTGATTACTAAACTGGAAGGAATGTGAGTTGGTGCATGTCACATCAGGAACACTTGTGGTTAAAACGGGGAAACATAAACATAGTACATATTCATTCCAGCTAAGTCTATCCAAGCAATTTCTCTCTATCTCACAGGGGAGCAGTTGGTGGAAGATTCATCATTGCCCTTCCTTCAATTGCCATCCAACATATATATGCTGCCTATCAGCTGCTGATGATATAGCATACCTACAAAAATACTGTTACAAATCTATAGTTGATAGTTCATATACTTTGGATATTACATTTAGTTTTGAGAATTACACTTCTGACACGGGGAATGGGGGCACCTGGTTGGGAAACTGATGACCAACCTTGGGGTGAATGTAATTCAAGCACATTTAAAATTTATTATACTTAAAAGGTTGATGTCATGCTGACTTCAGGGTTTAACAATTCGAAATGTATGATCATAAACAGTAGGTGTGCTTACGTAAGTAAAGAACTGGAGACATAACACCTGCAATTATTCCAATAAAGTATAAATTTATTCCTCTTCCCCACCAATGCTGGATACAACAACCTTTCTCAGCCATTTCAACTCCCTTTGCCTTTAGTTCTGCGACACCTGTGATCTCCAATCTCCCTTGCCCTCTAAAATTTCCATGACGTTCTCTTCTTTTAAATGTGCCCCCTGGTTCTAGATTCGCCATCTACCCTGTCTATCTTAAGAATATTGTAAGTTTCAATGAGATCGTCTATCTTAAGAATATTGTAAGTTTCAATGAGATTGTCTCTCATTTATTGAGACTCTCGAGAGTACAGGCCCAGTTGCCCAGTCTATAGAACAGTTCTGCCATTTCGGGAATAAGTCCAGCCAACCTGAATTGCACTTGCTCTGTGCAACAGTATCTTTCCGGAGGTAAGGTGATGAGAATGGACATAATACTCCAGGTATGCTCTAACCAAGCTCCTGTTTAATTTAATCATGAAGCAGCTGAAGCAAGTGTGTGATAACAAGGCGTAGAGCTGGATGAACACAGCAGGCCAGGCAGCATCAGAGGAACAGGAAGGCTGACGTTTCAGGTCTGGACCCTTCTTCAGAAAAATGAAGTTTCCAAAGAAGGGTCCAGACCCGAAACGTCAGCTTTCCTGCTTCTCTGATGCTGCCTGGCCTGCTGTGTTCATCCAGCTCTACACCTTGTTATCTCAGATTCTCCAGCATCAGCAGTTCCTACTATCTCTGAAGCAAGTGTGTGCTTTTTTAACTGCTGTCCTACCACTTTCAATTTATGCACACATACACTAACTCCCTCTGATCCTGCAGCTCTTTTAAATTGTTCCCTTGTTTTACAATGACTTTCCACATTCTTCCTAGCAAATGAATCACTTCATACTTCTCTGCATTAAATTTCGTCTGCTATTTGTCTGCCCATTCCACCGACCTGTCTACATCCCTTTGAAGTCCCTTTGATTCTCCTGGTAGTTGACAATACTTTCAAGATTTGTGCCATCAACAAACTTTGAAATTTTACCCTATATGCTGCAGTTAGGTCATTTAACTTATCAGGAACAGCAGTCATACTCATACTAATCCTAGGGAACTCCAGTAAAAACTTTCCTCTAGACCGAAAAGTAACTATTTACTAATACACTTTTTTTTGCTTGAAACTCAGCCAATTCCATATCTATGTTGCTATTGTCCCTTTTATTCCATGAGCTCTAACTTTGTTCACCAACATCTGAAATAGAAGCAAAAGTAAACCACTCAGCCTCTCGAGCTTGCTCTGCCATTCAATAAGATCATGGCTGATTTGTTTCTGTTTCAAATTCCACAATCCCATATACACTTGATAACATTTGATTTGTGTGCTTCTACCTCTGCCTTAAAAATATCGAACAACCTCGCCGCCATTGCCTTCTGAGGAAGAATTCCAATGTCACTTAATCCTCAGAGAGAAAAAAATCTCCTCATCTCTGTTCGAAAAGAGTGACCACTGATTTTAAATGTATGCCCCTTCATTCTGGGCTGGGCAACAAGAGGAAATGTCTAAATAAAAACCGAAAGAACTGTGGATGCTGTAAATCAGGAACAAAAATTAAAGTTGCTGGAAAAGCTCAGCAGGTCTAGCAGCATCTGTGAAGGGAAAAAAGAGAGTTAATGTTTCGGGTCCGGTGACCCTTCCTCAGAACATTTTCCAGAAACTTTGTTTTTGTGGTTGTTGTTGAAGAGGAAATGTCTGTTATTTAGCCTTTGAACAAATCCAATGTACAACATATCAACAGCATTACCCTCATCAAACCTCTCTCTTACTTCATAATAAAACTCAAATCTGGTAGTTAAACATGATTTTTTTGTATTAACTTCTTTCTTACCTTAATTAACTCATATTTGACAAAGTGAGTATTAATTGGTTCCAAATTGTTATTTTTAAAAGGGTTCCCATCACAAAGGTTAAACTGACTAGCCCATAAGTGTACAACATTTGCAATTCTTCAACTAAGCTGGGGAAGGTTGAAAGATGACAGCCTCTGCAATTTCTATTCTCACTTCTCTGTTATATCTCTTAACTGCAATCAATGACTTACCAATCTTTGAACATTTCAAGCATCTGCATTTCAGTCTCACTCCCTACTGTTCTTATTTGACCCAGTCTCCCTCCCCATTGCCCCCCATTTTGACCCAGTCTCCCTCCCCATTGCCCCCCATTTGATCCAGTCTCCCTCCCTATTGCTCTTATTTGACCCAGTTTCACTCCCCATTGCTTCCTATTTGACTTAGTCTCATACCCCACTATTATCCCCTTTTGTCCCAGTATCACTCCTCTCAATTGCTTCTGTCTGATTCAGTCTAACTCCTCTGTTGCCCCTGTTTGAATCCATAGAATCCCTACAGTGTGGAAACAGGCCCTTCAGCCCAACAAGTCTACATGAAACCTCAGCGCATCCCACCAGACTCATTCCCCAAACCCACCTAACCTACACATCCCTAGACACTGTGGGCAATTTAGCATGGTGAATCCACCTAGCCTACACATCTTTGGACTGTAGCCTCATTCCTAATTGCTCCTATTTGACCCAATTTCAACTCCCATGATCCCCTATTTGATCCAGTCTCACATCCTATCGCTCCCCATTTGACCCAATTTCACACTTCATTACCCCTATATGACCCAGTTTTACTGCCTATTACCCCTATTTGACCCAGTATTACTGTCTATTACCCCTGTATGATGCACTCACTCCCTATTACCCCTATTTAACCCCTTCTCACACCTTGTTGCTCCCCATTTGATCCAATTTCACTCTTCATTACCCCTATATGACCCAATCTCACACCTCATTACCTCTATATGACCCAATCTCACTCTCTATTACCCCCATATGACCCAGTCTCATACCTCATTGCCCCTATGTTACTTGGTCTCACCCAACCATGGAGACTGCCCCCTATTGACTGTCTCCGGAAATGCTACTGGAAATTCCCCGGAAATCCCGCCTCCCAGCCACCAGACGGGCGGGCGTGACCGGAAGCTGATTGGCTCCGGTTCGTGTCAGTCACAATGTGGGTGTGGCCAGGGAGCGGAGCGGATCCTGGTCGAGGCCGAGGGACTGGAAGCGGCTCCGGGAATGGAAACTATAGCAACGGTAATGAAAGCAAGAGGTGAGTGTGGCGGGGCTCAGTCAGGGTGAACTGCGGCTCTCTGTTGAGTATTGATCCGGGTCTTCAGCAGCTGGAGCAGGATTTAGGCAAGGCCTGAAACCTGGGAATGGCTGTAAGTGACGGATCCTGGCGCTGGGAGTAGGACACGCTGGGTGATCCATGCAGACTGGCCTATTCATTACCTTTCAGGGTAGTCACCAGTACCTTCAACAAAAAGTTAACAGCAGGCCACATTACTGACAGGTTGACTCTCTGTTGAACTGCCCATGACTTTATCCAAATGTGTGTGTACTTGTGTCAAATAACCAGCAGTACCATTGGAGATCCTGTCTGCAGGGAGTGTTTTTAGCTGACGGTGAGATCTTGTTGGTAGCTCGAGCAACAACATGCCAAATAAACGCAACAGCAACAACATTGTCATTTCTTGGGAAGGCATCAAGCTACCTAATGTCTGAGGGCTAAGGGTAAGATCCTGAACTTTTGGCTGTAGGTTGCTGATGAATCCCTGGTATTGCTGCATGTTTAGTTTCAATAGAATTGCAATTGTTACTGAATTTTGACCTTAATCTCTCAGCCAGATCACTGCTTTTCTGTTTATAGCGCAATAGTTAATTGTGTTGTGTATATGAGTTTATATTAGCTAAAGATAAAAAGGTTAGCGCACTTGCAAGTTTTAGAGCATTTGATTGTGTTTCAGCTTTTCTTTGAGGCTGGTCAGCCCAAATGTATGCTTGTCACTGGGATGACATTGCAGTAGAATTATTATAGAGTATTGTTCTTAGCAAAAAAAAAGAGGTAATCCGTTGATTCATTCTTGCCTAACTATTTGAACTTGTTAAAGAAACTGCATAAAGATTTGCATGAATTTCAATGTAAAAACAGGTCATATCGTTGACCATGAGTTACAAGGATGGATTTCCTCTGGTTAGACTAGAATGGTTAAAGAATATCTGGATTGATTTCTGGCCTGTACTGAGCAAGTTGATCACAAGTGGGACAGCCAGTTTAGAGTTGACCTTGACCTTCACTTCTGGGCTGGGGATGGAAAAATTTGTCCGGTATTCTCATCCTTGATTGTCTATCTTGCTGCACTGTCATGTAGCCCCAGCATTACTAAAGTGGGCTGTACCTCAAGACTTCAGCAGGCAGTACTGAAAACCTCCAAAGGGTTCCTTGTGCCAGTAGATCCTTTGTCCAACAAGACTTAGCGTAATCAGGGAACAGTGAGAATAAGTTAGCAGAAAAAAACTCACAACTGCTGGTTAAATCAGACTATTCTAGCCTAATTAATCTCTTACCAGTTTGTAGGTGACACATTTGCTATGCTTTATCTTATCCGTTTGGGATCAAAGTTGACCAGCTTTTAAATGTATTAATATTAGTAATGGTTTAGGCAAAATAAGATTGCACATTACATTGTGGGTACAGTAGCAATGGAATTCCTCTCGTAGCAACTTCCAACCAACATGCCACTCTATACAAGTAAACAAAGGCAATTAAATCATAAGAATATTCTATTTCAAAAGATTTTAAGTCATTTTTGAAAGGTGAGTGTTGCACCATTTATGTATCTGCATATGGGGTGACTGCTGTCAATGTGACACTAAACTTGAGATGCTTGGTGACTTCTTCTAATTCTTAACTCAATCTCCTTTACTTTAAGAGAACAACTTCAACTTTCAAATGTAACCTTGTATGTAAAACCCCCATCCTTCGCACTATTTTGTTAAATCTCCTTTACACTGTCAAGATTGCTCACATCCTTCTGAAAATGTGGTGACCAGATTTAGATGCAGTACACAATTTGGGCCTAACCAGAGTTTGACTTCTGTTTTTTTGCTCAATACCTGTATTTAATAAATCTAAAACAATCCCATGTGCTTTGCTAACCACTGTCTCAAAAAGTCCTGCCACCTTCAAAGATCAATGTACCTGTGCCCACAAGTTCCTCTGTTCTTGCACATGCTTTATGACTGGCCAGAGAGTCTCTAATTGCCTCTCCTGTCTGACAAACATATCATCACCTCACACTTTTCTATGCTGAATACCATCTGTCACTTGCCTGTCTATTCCTCTAGCTTATCTGTGTCATTGCACGTGATTCATGTTATCCCCAATTTGCAAGTCCTCCAAGTTTGGTATTATTGGCAAATTTTGATAAATGACTTGCATCTCAGAATACAGAGTAAATTATGCAGCAAGAAAAACACCTGTCCTGGCATTGATCTTTAGGGAAAACCACTGTCCACCATCCTCCGTTCTGATAAACAATAATTAACCATGACTTGCTGTTTTCCTTTCCCTATGTTTAAGTTTTATCAAACCTGACACGAATACTTTTTTTCTCGCCTTGTATGTGTTATTTTGTCAAATATTTTCTTGAAATCCAAAAATACAATATCATTGCATTCCCTTCATTAACCTTCTCTGTTATTTCATGGAAAAAAAGGTTTAGTCAAATACAAGATTTACCTTTTATAAATCTGTGTTGACTACCCTTAGTTAACTCAAAGTTGTCCAAGTGCCTTGGTTTATTATCTTTCTCCCTGATTATTGTTTCTAAAGCTATTAATGTTAAAACTAGTTGGCTTGTAGTTGCTTGGGCTAACCTTGCATCTTTTCCTGAGTAATGCTATCACATTTGCCACAGTTTAATCCTTCTGTATCTCCGTAATATCCTGGAATGATTGGAAGACAATGGGCAAGCCTGTTTGCCATTTTGAAACCCACTTCTTTCAGCAACTTGGGGTGCAACCAATACAGGCCAGGTGACTTATCCACTGTAAGCATAGGCAGCCTTTCCAGTGCTTTGTCCCTCTCAACTTTCACCTTATTCATTTCTTCTACTATATCTGTTTTTACCAGCATTTTTTAAGATCCCTGTTTTTCATTAACACTGATGTGAAATTCTCCTTAAGTGTTTTAACCTTGTCCTTCTATCACTTTGTATATATCACCTTCTTTGACTCTAATAGGAATCATTCCACTTAAACAGTAACTTGCTAACTTTTTATATGCCACTAAAGATTTTTGAGTGCCCTTTTATGTTGACTGGCACCTATTCTCATTCTCTCCTTGCCAGTCCTGTTGTACTCTTTGCCTGTTCCTTTCAACTTAACACATGTGACTTGATTCTCAGGAGCGGCAGATGGATTTTAATTTAGATAAATGCGAGGTGTTGCATTTTGGTAAGACGAACAAGGGCAGGACTTGAAGTTAATGATAGAGCCCTGGGCAGTGTTGTAGAACAGAGAGACCTAGGGGCTCAGGTACATAGTTCATTGAAAGTTGTCACAAATAGACAGTGGTGAAGAAGGCATTTGGCATGCTTGTCTTCATTGCCCCGATCATTGAGTTTAGGAATTAGGATGTCATGCTGTGGTTGTACAGGATGTTGGTGAGGTTACTTTTGAAGTACTGTGTACAGTTCTGGTCAACCAACTTTGGAAGGATATTATTAAATTGGAGAGGGCACGAAAAGATTTACAAGGATGTTACCAGGACTGGAGGGTTTGAGTTACAAGGAGAGGCTGGATAAGTTGGGACTTTTTACACTGGTCTATAGGAGTTTGAGGGGTGACCGTGATAGAGGTTTATAAAATTGAGGGGCTTTGATAAAGTGAATGGCAAAGGTCTTTTTCCCAAGGGTTGGGGAATTCAAAACTAGAGGGCATAATTTTAAGGTGAGAGGAGAAAGATTTAAAAGGGACCTCGGTCAACTTTTTCACACAGGGTGGTTCATATATGGAATGAACTGCCAGACAGAGTAGTAGATGCTGGTATGGTTATAACATTTAAAAGACATCCGGACAGGTACATGAATAGGAAAGATTTAGAAGATACAAGCCAAACGCAGGCAAACGCGACTAGTTTAGTTTGGGAAACTTGGTCGGCATGGACAAGTTGAACTGAAGGGCCTGTTTCTGTGCTGTAGGACTTTATGACTGCGTGACTTTGATTCAATGATGTTGAATTCCTTTACTTCCCTCTTGCTGGGGGAAAGAAGTAGTGTAACCAAATGCCCATGTAACTCTTAGAACTTCACCTCCACCCCCCCCCCCCCAAACAAAAAAACAAATTATTGATTTAGTTCAAATGTCAGTTGACCTACTCAGTCCAAACAATACAGGTACAGTGAGTTTAAAACAAAACTGAATTGTCCAAAGAGGGAGATTTTTGTAAGATGGTGTGCATCAATTTTAAATATTAGTAAATGAGTAAAATAATTTACTGAGACCATTCAGCTTGATGCCATATTGGCATAGTAGCATGCCAGACTACTTACTGGCTTCACAGATTGGTCCTTTCTCAAGCTTCGAGTGGTTTGTGATCTTTGAATCCACTTGACCCAAATAACCTGATTTGATATATCTCCTATTAATTGAATTGAGGATCTGATTTTTTTCTTCTTCTCTGTAAACTGGCAAGATCTGAAGTCTGGCATGGATTCGGTCATGAGGTTTCAGGTTTTGAGATACCATACCTTTATTTTAAGTCTTGGTGTTTATAGATTTCCTATTTGCTCACTCACTCTGGATGTGCATGGCTGAACCAAGAAGATAGAGTACGTAGGATAATAACAGTAATCCTTGTTGTATGTACATCTTAAACCAACAGGTACAAGATGATGTAACTCATTTGATGTAACTGAAAATTTCAGGATTATGTTGCAAAATGTTTACTTTGTAGAACCGCAAGGAAGTTGAAAATAAGTATGGTAATTGACAAGATGAAGGTTGCTACCTGTCTTTTTGCTCGAACAGATTGCATTTTTGTTTTTTAAAAAAATGCATAAGGTGCAATTGATCCAGTGTTTCTTTTAACCAGTGAACAGTTCGTCAAATTCATTACTTGGTTTTAAAGCTTCTGCATTGTTCTGAAATCATTTTGAAAAAAAATTGCATCAGATGCATCTTGCACTTCCTACACTAACAGCAAATCTGCAGTGGCTTAGCATATTTCTTTGTTTGGCAAAGCTACTATTTCAATTTCAGACATCT